TAATTAGTTATTGTTAATTGTTTATTGGTTTAATGTAAGTAGCTATTGTTCTGGACGAACAATACTAAGGAAGGGGCAGTGTTAAATGACGCTGGAAGCATGCGCGCTGGAGTTTCTAGAAGGGTCATGACTGTTTCTGGCAACTTTAGTCTTTTCTAGGCGCCCTTTATTTTATTGTATAAGCCCGGCAAATAAAGCGGAGATATAATTGCAGATAGACAGATATAGAGACAGATAATCGAGTCAAGCGAGCAGTAGGCACCGTATGTAAAGTATGTGAATCGCTATGAATTATAGCGTGTGTTTATAAAAGTAGTTAAGTTTAAAGTGACTGTGGAAATTAAGTGTATTACAAAGTTTGTAACGAGAAAGAATAAACTAGTTTTAATTAAGAAAGGATTTGTATCGCTGAAGTTTCTCCGAAAGAATTTCTACGGGATATTAATACAAACGGCCAAAGACGTAACAACATTAAAAGTGTCGCATGTAAATGTTAGATAAATAAAACTTGAGTACAAACTACAATACAGGGAAAATAAATATATTCTATTTATAGAAATATGTTCAAAAGTAGAACCCACATAGCCATGCGGATATATTGTCCATCAGATTTAACCTTTATTCACAGATCAAATTAAAACCAAAAAACAAATAAGTAGAATAAAAAACAATAGGAGTAGATGTGGGTGATAAGGAACAGAATGTTCCACATCTAACCCTATACATTCATCGTCTGCATCATGTTCTCAAAAAGTAGTTTATATTTAAGAAAAAGAACAAACAAGGAAAGATAACTTAAATATAAAACAGGTTTTCAAAATCGGACCGCTATATGATTTATCTCTTGTATAATACATTTCAGCATTTATGATAGTCACATACTTATATAAAGAATGAAACCTGGGATATCTAGGGCAATAATTACAAATGATAGAAGAATTAGAAATGGACTTTAACCTTCAAATTCCAAAACTGTAGCACTAACTCAGGCACATACATATACTAAAAATCAACCGTAACATCTAGACATCTGAGTTAAACTTAACGTGAAAGCATCACGTTTAAAACCTCTAAACAACCTTAGGTAATAAATAAAGTCCAATGAACAAATGCATCAAATTATCACTTAGAGACATATACTGGCGAAAACTGCAAGTCCTCCATTTAACATGAAGTGGTCTTTCATTGGCTATTTCCGTTTTCGTGAGCTGCTTGTGTGGTACACTTAAGATTCATTCATATTTTTTACGAGTGTACGAAACGTTCGACTTTCGTGACCCTACTCCTTCTAAAATATGCTAGAGCTTCCATTTTGTAGGATTATGGCCAAAAATATTCTAACATAATTTATTTATTTTTTCGTTGGGTGGCGGTATAACAGTTTTCTGTTTGAAAAAAGGGAGATTGAAAGTACACTGATTTGATAAGGAAACATTAATTATTTCAGACAAAAAGTGTTTAAGTTCCGTAACTGACGTGTTAAAAATAGAAAGGAAATGCGGTTTATAATAAAAAGTATGGGAGAGATAAGGTAAAGTGTAAGACTTACCCCACGCTTCATGAATTCGTTAGCGTGTTCAGTAACTTTAGTCATGATATCCAAAGCTCTTCCTGTATCGTCATACTCAGTGCTATCATTCGGTAGATATTTCATGTATCTCTCTAAAAACAGGCGGTACTGTGGAATCCTCTGAATCGGTTTTAGCATGTAATGTTCTAATGACAAAGATTTACACAGAGAAAGTGCCTAACAAAAAAGTGAGAGAGAGAGGAAACACTTATCAGTGTATTATTACATTATATGTTTTTAATGTAAATAACTTGTGAGTTCAGCCCACAAGGAATGTCACATATGTTTAGTTTCACAATATAAAGGATAACGTTGTTTAAGATAAACAACATTGTTTAATTATAACAGAATAAGACACATATAAACGTTTATCTGTTCGGTGTAACTGGGATTTGAATTCGCGACCCTCAGATTGCGAGTCGAGCGCACTAACCTCCAGGCCAAGCTAGGCCTATCACAGATCTAATACAGTAAGATAAGAAAAACAGAGATTCAGCTCATATTGAAACTTTAGACAACATCGCCAATTGTTAATTAAAGCATTGTTTAAATAAAACAACCGATCACACAACAGCTGAAAAATATTTATATACATAATTGCATCACAAGGCGTTAATTCAGTGTTATAATTAAAAAAATATATATTTATTATAACTTAATAAACATTCTTCGAAGTTTCGTGAACTCGTTTTTCAAAAACTAAGGCAAGGAATCTAAGGATAGAAAGTTAAAAGCAAAATCAGTTAACGTTCTTTTTTTTATTATTAATCATCGACTATGCGTCATTCAATTCGAAGTGAGCATACAATCTTACCCCAAAATATTGTACTAGTTTCAGTAAACTGAAACATCCGATTAATTCAATAGAATGCAACACGAACATACAGTCTGACCTCAGTTTTCACAATTTTTGAAAAACTGTGACGGTCGACTAAACTAATCGAATTCAACATTTACGTCTAATTATCACATTAATTCATGAAACACTTGGACAGAAGACTAATCTTTTGTTTGTTATTTGTATTTCGCACAAAGCTAGCCGTCCATAATTTAGAAGCGATAGATTAAAGGAAAGGAAGCTAGAGAACGCCACCCGCCGTAAACTTTTAGGCTACACTTTACTAACGAAAGTGTGATTGAATATCACATTATAACGTCCTTCACGGCTGAAACTTCTAGTATGTTCGTTGATGGGATTCGAACTTGAATACCGCTTATTGCATGTCGAGTGCCCTAACGGACTAATTTAACGTCTACCTCAAATTATCGTACTAATTACTGAGAAACCGCCAGTTATTTTTATCTAAATTAACATGAGCATATAATCTTACCTCAAATTCTCGCACTAATTCTTGAAACATTGGGTATTTTCTCTTACTTTCTTCCAAAACAGTAGACATGTTCCTGAAGTCACAAATGTAGGCAGAGTACAATTTCAGGAAGGGGCCGTGCTGAATGATCAAATCGGCTATTCTTCGATTTTCTGACCTAAATCAAAATATTGACGTTTTAAATTTTGTTTTTAAAAATAAGTGTTTTGTACAAAAACTAGGTAAGTTGATTATTGTTGTTTCAAAATGACGTGAGTTTGATAAAAAAAAAGAAGTATATACATGTGGTATTTAATTAACCAGTCTTGAATTCCAGAATGTCTAGGCTTAAACTAGATGAAATGTTAGTTGTACATAATTACGCAATATTAAGCTACTGTTACTTAAGTACAGAAATTTACTGTGGCCATAACTGTTGCAGTGTTTATAGGCTTATGTGTTTGGACACCATAAGGTAAATTCTGATAAAAATATACTCATGTATAAAGGGGTACTAGCTGAAATGTACAATGTACAGGTCAAAATATATCGATAAAGGATATTTCGAAAAGGCACTAACTGAACTATATAATGTACATATGAAACGTTATACATGAATAAATGAGATAATGAAGGGGCACTATCGTAAAGGTCAAGAATTATATATGGAAAAGATACAATGAAATGATACAAACTAAGCTATATATTGTACAGGTCAACACTCATAGGTGGATAAAGGATACATAGAAATGACAGTCATTAAATTATTGACCTAACGGAATAAAAGTCAAGAGTTCAAATGCATTAGTATATATATATATGTAGCTGATTAATCATTAATACATTAGTAGTTATCCCTCCACTCCTCTGCCTCAGTGGGGGTCACCAGGTGAGTGGAGATCAAAATACATCGTCTGAGAGTTACATAACTATTATGTAATACGTAAATGATGCCGACACGTGAAGGTTAAATAACAATTAAGTAATATACAAAGGATGCTGACACCACAGGAGTGACACAGAAGTTAACGTCATAGTTCCACGAAGTTGCAGCAGGAGACGTGTTGCCAGGGCGCGTTGCTAAGAGTCAAAGCTCCACAAAGTCGCACAAGACGACAGCGTTATTATAGTTCCTTTGGATGATCGTGTGGTGTCTCAACTTATGTTTACTTTATCACTTCTATATGTAATATTTACGATACCTACTGTTTCACTTTTATAAGTTAAACCTGGAAACAGTTGTATTTTAATTATAGATTATAGCCTTATACAAACGATTACGTCATCCAAATTGTAGTTTTTCACTCCTGTATTTAATCATATTGGCCAGGTGGTTAGGGCGCTCGACTCACAATCTGAGGGTCGCGGGTTCGAATCCCCA